ATGTGTGAGCAAACCTCTATGCGGAAGAGTCAGTCTGAGTAAGAGACTTCATACCTAGACAATCGGAAAGAACAGAACAATCTGAAAGTGACTTTAAAATGAGTTCCTTTAGAGTATTTGAAGAGCTAAAATGACTAGAAATCACGTGGGAAGAAGCAAGATCATAAAATGTGCAAGTAGAAAAATTACAATTCTAAAACTGGAAAAGTTTCTATGGACAAGCTGGATGGTAGACTGAAGAGAGGGACTTAACTAGAAAACAGGTTTAAAAAACTGTAGCACAAAATAAGATAACAACATTAAAGCGGTAAGAAGCATGTGAGAAAAAATGAAGAAGTTCCAATACATGATTATTAGGAGTTACAGAACCAGAAGAGAATAAATAAGACATAATAACTCAAAGAGATCATGGATAGTTTCTAGATTTAAAGAAAAACATGAATTCTTAGATAATAAAGAAAAAATCACAAATCTGAGCAGACCCATTAAAAACAAGTCTGCATATGAATACAGCATATTTATACTGGAGAATGAATTCAAACCAGAGAGAAACAGCAGATTACCTACAAAGGAGTGAAAATTTGACTTTTAGCAGAGAGTTAGTAGTGGAATATTATCTTCAATATGCTGAGGAAAGATTATCAAACTACAATTCAATAAGCAATTAAATGATTGTTTAAGGATGAGGGCAAAACTTGTGTTTGCCAGGGGGGAGAGGGGTGGGACAGGACAAACTGGGAGTTCGAAATTTGTAAATATTGACAGGCATATGCAGAACAGATAAACAAGATTATACTGTATAGCACAGGGAAATATATACAAGATCTTGTGGTAGCTCACAGCGAAAAAGAATGTGACAATGAATATATGTATGTTCATGTATAACTGAAACATTGTGCTCTACACTGGAAATTCACACAACATTGTAATTGACTATAAATCAATTTTAAAAAATGTTAATTAAAAAAAAGGATGAGGGCAAAATAAAGATATTTTCAGGTAAAATAAGGGCAAGGAACTTACTAATCAAAAATGCTCACTGAAAGAATAAACTATATATATAGGGGAAAAGAAGATGGGACCCAGAAGGAAGTAGACTATAATAAGCATAGGGATCAAGCCAATGGAGAAATAAGTTGGTACATCTACAAAAACATTGATTTTAAAAATAATGATTAATTTCCAGGCTTTAAAAATAATGTATATTTTATATCCAATGGCAATAAATAACATGGAAGACTTGAGGTGAGAAGGGGAGCTGAAGTCAAAGCATCTCAAGTGTCCGTATTATGGGTGAGGAAGACCAAAATAAATTCAACTTTGTTAGGTTAAACACACCTGCTAAAACTCTAGGGAGGAACTACCAAAAAAAAAAAACAGTGATACATAATCTAAGCCAGTGACGGCCACATATAAATGTAACAAATACATAAAACATGAGTAGGAGGTAACAATCCAAATGTCCGTGAACGGGAGAATGAAATGGTATATTTGTACTACAGATGCAAATGATAAAAAGGGTTAAATGACTGAAAAACATACACAAACATGTGAAGCAACTATACATTATGTTGAGCAGCAGAAGCCAGGCCCACAACCAAAATACGAGCATGGCCTGTGTGATCCTATTTATACTGACGTCAAGGACGTGCAGAACTCATCTACAGTGATAGACATCAGAACACTCAGTGTCTTTGAGGACTGGGGACTGACTGGGACACAATGGACTCTTTGGCAAGCATATCAGTTTCCTAGGACTGACTAATTAATTACCACAACATGGCGGCTTCAACAACAAGAGTTTGTTCTTTCAGTTTTGGAGACTATCAGTGTGAAACTGAGGTGTCAGCAGGGCCATGCTTCTTGTGAAGGCCCTACAGAAGAACCCCTCCTTGCCTCTTCAGGTGGCCCCAACACTCCCTGGCTTATGTCAGTGTAACCCCAACCTCTGCCTCCATCTTCACGTGCCCTTCTCTATGCACGTCTGTGTCCCCTCTTCTGTTTCTTATAAAGTTACTCTTTGGACTTAGGGCCCACCTTAATCCATTATGATTTCATACCCATTCTTACCTTAAGTACATTTGCAAAGCCCCCTTTTCAAAATAAGGTCACATTCTGAGGTCATGAATTTGGGGAGGAAAGGGCACTATTTTGCCCACTCTAGAACATGATGGAAATGTTCTAATTGTGATTGAATATTGGCCACACAAATGTATATATTTTCCAAACTGTGCATTTAGGACCTGTGCATTTTTTATAAATAATGTGCATAATTTATAAGTGAATTATCTCAATTTTTTAAAGGATAGGCCATAGACTAGCTTCAGGATAAAGTAGTTACTTATAATCACATTTCTTTTTTTAGATTTACAAACTATATCAGATGCTCACTTGTAAGATATTCTTTAAATTTTTTTTGACAATAGAAATATCGTATTGGAGGGACAAGAGGGATAGTAAACTAAGTAAATGCTGAAACAGAATCTGAAAATTGATGTATCAACCTTAAGAAGTTCACTACAGCTAGTGATAAATAAGGTAATTTAAAAGAAAACAAAGTCTGTTTTTAGCACTAGTACAAAATTCAGAAATGATACAATCTGAAATTCCAGAATAATGTCTAAAATATGAAAAATTCATGTAACTTTTAGTTATCCTTATACCAAACACGGTCATAAACAAGATAAATAAGGCCACACTAACTTCATTTTATTGGGTTAACCCACAGAAGAAAGAAATAAGAGAAGGAATAGAAACTTCATCAATTATTAAAACTTTTAGCTTTGAGATGACATCCCATTTGCCTTACATATAATCTTTATTGCATGTAAAACTAATACAAAGCAGTAAGTATTCACACTAGCATCTCTACCACAAGGCACACTGTGTACCACCCCTTCCTCCCTTCCTTTGCTTATGATTCAAAAGCCAATATATTTACAGCCACTTGTACCATATCTACATTAGGTTTCAATTCCACAACATGCTCTCCCCACTTTTCCTGGGCTCCCTGGTTTGTTCTTATAGCCTATCTTCCAGAGAGATTCTAAAACAAGGGCTTAGTCTAACCTTTCAGAAAACGGGCCAAAGAAGAACCAAGACGGGACCAGAAATCAGGGCCAAGATAACCCTTTGAAATGGCCATTAAGATCTATTTCTTCCCGCCTATTCCAGGACTTTGTTCTCTCAACTGTTGAACTGCTCTTATCTACATAATGAGTCTATTTTATGGACTTTCTCTTGCTTGCAAATCTATCTATCCTTCCCAATTTTCTAATTTATTACCTTTTTTTTTCTTAAACCTGCAATTGTGAAGCAAGAAACAATTCAGATGAAAAATCACCACCTCAGATATAATAATTCCTAATAAAATTTTGGCAAACTTTCCAGACACCCTTATATACATATGCATATACAATATTTATAATATGTAATTTGTATTTTTCATAACTGATCATACTTTTTATACACCATATCATAACTTGCCCAGTTTCAATCAAGTTGTGAGCATCTTCGAAGATCATTGAACCAGACCAGTATCACTCATATTTCTTGGAAATGTCAGTGTTATCTGCAGCCTCTACTTTCCACCACCACCCAATTATCCCCAACACTACTTTCACAAAGACTTCAGTGAGTTTACAGATTCCTAGCTGAAGACCCCATTCTCAGTTTCTGGTCCTCACAACTCCTATAGCTAGGTCATTACTGACAGTTTTCTTCCTCTTCTAGCTTCCATGATCATTTCTCTTCTTCAAGACTTAATTTCAACTCTCATTCTTGTGATTTCTACTCATCTTCTCATAAGTCAGGCATTTATTCCCTCTCACCTAGACCCCCTGACCACCTCTCTGCTTCTCTCTACATTCTATTGTTGGGGTCAGTTTTTCTGCTTTTATTTTCATCATAGGGTTTCTGTTATGCCTCACTCTCATGAAATAACTATGATTTATAAAGCATGTTCACATAGCCGACTGGAAATAAGCCTGTACTATTGACAGCTTCCCTAGCTGCCTTCTGAAGAGGTTTCATTGTGATATTTTGTCATTGGT